TGGGGCAAGTCCCAGGCCAGCCAGGATTCAGCGAAGGGCAACAGAGGCCACGTCCCAGCATGAGCTGCAGCCTCTGCGTATGGGGACTGGCTGGTCAGAGCTCTCTGTGGGACACAGGGACACAGGAATTGGAATACAGGCCCCAGGCCCCCGAAATGTGTCTGTGTGTGTGTGTGTGTGTGAAGACTAATAGGAATTTTGGTTTATTACGTTTCCACGGGACGGGTCATACCTCTGCAGTGTGTGTGTGTGTGTGTGTGTGTGTGTGAAGACAAATAGGAATTTTGGTTTATTACGTTTCCAAGGGACAGGTCATACCTCTGTGCTCCTGTCTTGATTTTGGCAAACATCCCTCGAAATCACGGCATTTTAGAGTCCACAGCAATTCTGGGATTACTTTGCGAATTCTGGCCCTGTCATTGGACTCAGCTGTGACCTGGAGAATTTTTGTCATCAGCCCACAATTATTTAGCAAGGCAGTGAAGGCAGTTTCGTCACTGTGGAACTCGATGTGCAGAGATATTCTCATCGTCTTACCCTTGTTAACAAAAAGAAAATTAAGTCTAACTTTTTATTTCTCATTGTTCTAATCAAATCTTTGTTTGTAGATGTAATTAACTTGTACATAGTTACGAAACTAAGAGACACACTTTATATATAAGCATTTTTCATGTTGCTTACACTGTTGGAAGTTGCATGTTTTGTTTACAGCTATATACTCAGTGACAACACCAGTAGTAGATGCTCAGAAAATATTTGTCAAGTAAAAGAACTGTGGCCATTAAAGTCATTTTTTGGCTGCATTGAGTGTATTCAGGAGAATATATGCATTATAATTGACATAATTATTCTCTCATTGGATATTCAAGCTCTCCCAACTCCCACCCACCCCCTTCTGTTTGAGGGGCTGATTTATGATGCATAATTCTAAAGACATCTTTATACAAATTGACTTTCAAATAGAATTGTTTTAAATTAGCCTGAGAATAAATTTCCAGGGGTGGAATTATTAAATCAGGATACAAATGCAGTAATTTTTAACACTTATTAACCAGTGTCCACCTCAGAGAAGTGTTGTGGTTTATCCTGGCACCAAACTGCAGGACCGTGGACAGTCTCTCCAGGCCGCTCGTCTTTAAATTACTTTGGCGCTAACGACAGTTATAAAGTGCTGTTTTTGTTAGTTTCTTTGAAATTGGCATGGTTGAAATGTTTTCATATTTGTTTAATTTTAGGCCAGATTTCTTCTTCATTCCCTACCTGTAAGCCACCTAAATTTTTTTTCCCTCAAAAGCGCCACACCGCTTGCTGCATAGCGCTTCGAGGTGGGGTGCTGCGCCCGTCCTTCCCAGGCCCCCACCAGGCGGGGCTCACCAGCGGCCCTGAGGTCGGCACAGTTACGATCCTAAGGTGACTTCGTTTTCCCTTCGTGTTCCCGCCCTCGTTTGAGCACGTGCAGAAAACGGAGCCTTCAGAAGCATGCCCCCCACCCCCGCCCCGGTCCTCCATGGGAGACCTCGGGCCGCACAGTGGCTGGGCGCGGCTGGCGGGCGCAGATGCACCGAGCGCTGTGTGCCACTGGCTTTCCAGAACTGGCAGCTGCTTGTCCAGGGGCTGGAACAGGGCGGCAAACCCTGCGGGAGAGCGCGTGGGCCTCGCTTTACTGTCGCCCAGGCGCCTTTCCCCTCGGGCGTGACCTGCAGGTAGGCACCTCCAGAAGCCTCGCCCCTCAGCGTCCTCCGCCGGCCTCGAGAAATCCAGTCGTTTAGATCAGATATCTTTTTAAGGCGCAGAGGAGGAATGCCCCCCAGTTGACGAGCTGGCTGCGCAGTCTTTTTCCTTGACAGGCTGAGAATGTGCCCATTTATTTGGGGCACGGTGTCTGAGGCCCTCGCAAACTCCTGAGACTGTTACTGCAGGACGGCACACCACGCAGGTGGCCGTGGGTCTCGGACGCCCTGGCTGGAGACGCGTTTCCTCCATGTCATCTTTGATGAACTGATAACGTGCGTGAGGACCAGGAGATGGTGGGCAGAGACACACGGGGCCACCCAGACCCGACGGGCAGAGCTGTTCACTCTGGTTTCCCAGCTGTAACTTGGCGGACGTGGGAAAGGCTTCCTTGCCGGGCAAGGGGAGGGAGGGCGGGCCTCCCTAGGACATGCCTTCTTCTGCGGAATGGTTTTTTACTGAATTTAAACTGCTCTCCGCCCCAGGTCGATGGTGGGAAGACAGCTGAGCTGCCTGGTGAGCGAGCCCAACTGTGTCTTCCTGCCAGCCTGAGTCCCGAACCACAGGGACGAGGGGTGCTGACAGGTGTGCCGCAGCTTTCCGGTCTCGGTGACAGATCAGGAGGGCGAAGGCGGGTGGGCGCTCACCTGGCCAGACAGGGCCTTGACCTTAGCTGGGGCAGAGCAGGAGAGAGAGCCAGCATCAGTGCCGGACGCTTCAGAGACAGTGCACAGCAAAGCTGACTGTCCTCTGCCTCTGCGGGGCACGCCTTTCGGGACCTGGGACAGCTGGGGAGCTGCTCGCTGGTCAAGGCTGCCGGGCAGGAGTCACAGAGCTTGAGTGTCGCACAGCCACCCGCAGGAGGCAGGGAGTGAGGTTTGGCGGGTTCGGGGCTCAGTGGCATCTTGTGGCAGATGGTGGGCAGGACACAGTGTGGTTGTGCCTTCCGTCAGCTCTGGCAGCAGAGTCGTGTATGTGTGTGTGTGTGTGTGTGTGTGTGTGTACACACAAGGGGGTGTCCTGAACGCCCATGCAGAAGCCCCCTTTCTCCGTGCAGGCAGTGACAGACAAGGGCAGCCTGGTGGACTCAGGTTGTGGGGAGGTTTTATCTGCCAAATGACTCGGCTCGCCAAGCGGTGTGACGTTCGTGACTTGACACATCCGGTGAACAGTCGCTGTTTGCGGTCTCCTCGTGCTGGTTGTCATGGCTGGGTTTGCAGCACAGTCTGGAAGGCCAGGTGCCAGTAAACAGGAGAGACTCGGACACGTGCACGCTTGGCTGAGCCCGTCCCCTAGTGTGCAGCGTGGTCAGGCGGTCCCCCCTGCATGGCAGGGGCTGGTGGCCGTGTCTCAGACCAAGCCGCTTGGATGGTTCGTGCTGCCCAAAGGCCTTGTGGTTGGGGTCTGCTCCTAGGGGCGCATTTGAAAGGGGGCACCAGAAGCTGCAGGGACCCCAACGGGAGGCGGTCTGACACGACGTCTGTCTCCCAGCTGCGGAGACGTGTTTGCGGACACAGCCTTACCACACAGCAGAGCCTTGGGGCAGGGGCAGTGTCCCCTCCGGCCTACAGGAGAGGGCAGCGTGGACATGACCACTCCCCAGCTCTGCTGTGGCCGCCCTTCCAGACTTCAAACACCTGCCCGTCTGTCAGTCCAAGTGCCGCTTTTAAAACACCGCTCTGTCCTCACAACCACTTCCCAGTCCTCCTCGCCAGCTGTCGCTTCACGTCCCTCCACCCAGCGTCACCACCCCAGGCCTTGGGGCTCGGGCGTCGCTCCTTGCCCCCAGCGTGCTGTGTCACATACTTGGGCTGCTAAGAACAGAGGCACAGGTTATAGCCAAGTGTGGCCTACGCTGTCCTACCACTCAGCTGGGACACGGCCAGAAAGGGACATTCGAGTTTAATATGGTGTGACCACATGGGAGTGAAGCGCTTAATCTGCTCCGGCCACGGCTGGGCGGCTGGGTCCAGCCGTGAGTGAGGTGCAGCGTCAGGCCCTGCCAGGCTCTCCCGGTCCTCAGGGAGGAGGATGGCATGGACGCACTGGCGGTCACAGGTGCGTGGCGCCTGCCCCAGGGCGTGGGGGCACAGCACGGCCCTGTCGGTCCGAGTGCCTTGGGAAGCAAGTAGGTAGGAAGTTGGGTGTCTGGGACGGTGGCCGTCCCCCAAGTGCATCTTTGCTGACAGCCACCGGTGTCTGTGCTACTGGGGTCTTTCTGCACCCTCATTCCTTCCCACCTGGGCTCCCACAGAGCTGTCCCACCTGCACCCCCATCTGCCATCACCTGCGTTTCAGCGTTTTTAGTTTCCTCCTCCTCCACTTGCTGGCCTCGCGACCTTCACGAGGCTTGCGGTTCCCTTCTGTGGAATCCCCGTGTGTCACCTCTAGTAGGCTGTCCTCTCCTCCCGTCTTTCCTGCGGGCCCCCCGCCCTCATGCCCCGCCCCCGCCCCGGCTCGCTCTGCTCCTGCTTGACCCTGTCTGATGGCGCCTCAGGCTGGGCCTGTCGTGTCTCTGCTCCAGACCCATCTTCTCATTGACCACGTCCCTGCTGGGGGTCTTTGTGGCTGCATCAAGCACGGCAGACCCCTGCCCGGCTCTCCGCTCTAACTGCTCCAGCTGCCAGGACGCACAGGGCCCCCGTCCACCCCACCTGTGCATCCTGGAGAGCCAGTGTGCCGCCATCACCGTGTGCAGTCCCTGGTGCCACTTGGCCGGAGGAGCCCTCGTCCCCTCCATCTGCTCTCCCGGCAGCTCAGCGGTGTGTCCCACAGTCATCCCGCAACGCCTCGGAAGGGCCTGTCCGCCTTCTCCTGCTAGACCAGGGCCCTGAGCACAAGTCCCTCCTGCTGTGGGCAGCGCGGGACCCTGGCCAGTAGGCGTGCTGGGGGCCCTCCCGCCACTGGGGGCGGGCCACCTGGTCCTGACCTGCGCCTGCAGAGCCTCTCACCCCCAGCAGTAGCCTGGGGGGTGGGGCTGGGTCGAAGCAGAGTCTGTGACGTCCTCGGTCTCCAGGTACACTTGTCCCCAAACCAGGATGCATCAAAGCAGGGCTGCAGACTTACAGGTCAGGGCCGCCACCTACGTCCCCACATGCTCCTGACACACCTTGCACTTAGTCGGGTGAGACTGTCCTGAGACCACTGTGCCGTTCTGAGACTTGCCTGCATCATTCGCGGGTCCTCAGAGAGGCAGTGTCACGACAGGCAGGGACAGGCACGGGTGGAAGTCCCCGGGGGCTCTGTTTAAGATGACTGTGCTCCCGCAGGAGATGGCAGGCCGGGCGCTCAAGCAGACGGGTAGCAGGAGCATTGAAGCCGCCCTGGACTACATCAGCAAGATGGGCTACCTGGACCCCCGGAACGAGCAGATCGTGCGGGTCGTCAGGCAGACCTCGCCAGGTGAGCGCGGGCGCCGCCCTGTGGGCAGACGGCTGTCCTGAGACGCGCAGAAGCCGGTCCGGCGTGGCCTGGTCACGTCGCCATGTGCCGGCCTTGGGTAAGCCGAGCCTGCCCCTCGGCATTGGGCCCCGCGTGCCTCCCAACAGAAATAACCTGCCGTTTCCTACCTGGGTGGGGGGTCCTTGTCTTGACTTACGGGATACTGAATAATTCATTGGGCATCAAAATGAGGCAACTAGCAGAGCGAGAACAAAACTGTTTTGACTTTCTCTCCGGCCTGCGCAGGGGTCTTCGAACAGGGAGGCTGCTTTCAGGGTTCTGAAACGCCTGTTCTCACGCGAGCCTGAGAGCCGGCGGGCGGGGTGCTAGGAAGGCCAGAGGCTCGAGCGGACGGCGGGATGGAGCAGCGGGGCAGTTCCCTGGTGCCCGAGGCCCCGACTGTGACAAGGGACTCATGATACTTAGCAAAAGGAGTGTTCCCTAACTCATGGGGGGCCTTGGACAGACCCGCTGCACAGCGGAGTGGGACTCGCAGGGCTTCGTAGGCACTATCTGTTGTGATGAGGTCACAGACTTTGTGTTCTTCTGACAGTGCCCCGTGGCCCGTCCCATCCTGTCTCAGCACAGCCCCTGGGGGACCTTTTCCTGCACTTGCCTTTGGCATGTGTTCAGGGTGCACCTCCTGAGCAAGGGGACAGGGCCTCCTGGCTGGCTGTGGGACAGCAGGCTCTGTCCCTCCCGAGGCCGTCTGCCCCCAGGGAGCCTGTACAGGCGGTAGAGCCCTCAGCTCCAGGGTGCAGCAGGCTGGGCACCCCACTGACGCCCCGTTCCTCCCTCTGCAGGAAAGGGCCTGGTGCCCGCCGCCGTGCCGCGCAGGCCGAGCTTCGAAGCAGTGGGCGACCCCCTGCCCGCCTACCACCCGCTGAGCGGCGCCTACGAGGGTGGCGCGCTGGGGGACGCGCCCCGGCAGTACGCGG